GGACAACTATAGAAGTGGGGAAAATCGTACTAACGAGGTAAGTATTTTGTAATTTTCGTTTTATTAAGTTTAATGTCCTAATATATATATTTTGTTAATACTTATTGCATTTTAAATATTTTGTTAATATTTCTTGCGTTTTAAATATTTCTTGCATTTTCAATATTTTGTTAATATTTCTTGCGTTTTAAATATTTCTTGCATTTTCAATTGTTTCTTAATATTTCTTGCACTTCCAATTTATTTGTAAGGTTAATTGCATTTCCATTTATTTTTTTTGTTACTTGCATATCCAATATATTTTAAATATTTCTTGCATTTCCATTCTTTTGTTAAATAAATGATTCAAGCACAGATGTGGTTCGGTGCAACCGGGAGTGGCAAAAAAAGTTTCAATCATCATGAATGTTGGGAGGTGGTGAAATATTGCAAACGCTTCATAATTATTCTCACAGGTCCCGCCGTTGTGTTAAACGAGACACCACTCCGTGATTCAACGACATCGGATTCACCTTTCGATTCCCCTATGAGTGAAGACTCACCCATCGAAAAGGAGTCGAGGCCCATTGGCCGAAAGGCTGCGAAGACAAAGAAAGTGGGTAATTCGAGCAATAATAATTCAAAGTTTTTTGAGGAAATTGCAAGGCAGAATGCCATAAGTTTTTTGTAGAAGCAGTTGGAGGTCCTTGGAAGCAGGTGTACACACGTAGTCCCTAGTGTACAGAGTTTCAACTGCATCACAAAATCTTACCAAAGCCTCCAACGTAGTGGACTTCCCCATCCGGGCAATCTCATCCACCTGATCAGCAGATGCTCCATATGCCAACATTCGTATAACAGCTGTACGCTTTTGCTCTGGAAGAAGGCCCAAAACCCGAGCAGCATCACACTTTTGAACAAAGTATGCATCATAATTGCAAATATCATGCATAACTTTATTGAACAAATGATGTTGCATTCTAAATCGCCTTCGAAAATCAACATTAGAGTACAAAGAAGTTGAGATAAAATAATCTTCCAAAAGATTCTTACCCCGAGAATGCCTATGTCTGTCCACATTCCGGCGTCGGCTGACTTGTGAATCACAGCGGCGACCTTGGTTCTCTTCATCTTGCAAAGCCATTGCTATGACAACTTGTTCATCGACTTCTCTCTGCAACTCATTGATTTCATCTGCTCTACGGTTCCTCTCATTTGTTTCTCTCTTTGCCTCTTCAAGCATCTCCTAAAATCTTCCATTGAGAATGAATGGAGTATGAATTCTAAACTATAAGAAATGAAAATATAGAAAGATGTGGTGTGAGAGGTATGAGCTGAGCTTCTCGTTTTATAGAAAATTTGGCAAAATAGAGATGTCACGTGGTTTGATTTGATTGGATTAAAATCTTATCTGAAATTTGAAATTCATCTGAAATTTGAACACAAATTTATTTGAATTTTGAATTTTGAAATTCATCTGAAATTTGAACCCAAAAATCTTATCCGGAAATTTTATCCGATTATGAATAATCTTGACACGTAGGAACCCGAAAATCTTATCCGAAAATATTATCCAAATTAATTATTGAGGTAAAAAAATTTGTGAAAAAAACAAAAAAATGAATAGTAATTGCCTTTAGCCATGCCAACGGGTGGAAACACAAAATATTATTTGCAAAGGCAACCACTATTCACGTGAATAATGGCTGCCCTAGCTCCTCTATTGCCATGATTAAGAGCAACTCCAGCAGCAAGCCCAGCCAGAGGCTAGGGGGAGAAAAAAAAAACCCAGTTCCAATGAGGAGCCCAAGCTCGGGTTGGGAGTGCGACCCACAAAGTCGGGTTGGCCCTCAGGCCAGTTCAGCCCGAGGGCTGGGCTGATGTCATTGCTGATGCCAGGCTGACGTCAGCCCACTCATTTGATTTTTTTTTTCTGTTGCCACATGGCATCGTCTGGGCTCTCCGATCGGATTTTTTCCTCCAATCCAACGACAGTCAATTTTTTTGCAATAAAATACTGAAAAAAATTCAGAATTTTTTTTAAAAAATACCCAAAAATTAATGAATTTTTTTCTATAAATAACAGCTAATTTTTTTTTTAAATTTATCTGAAATTTGAAATTGAAAATTTTATCCGATTATGAGATATGAATAGTATTGATATATAGGAACCCGAAAATATTATCTAAATTAATTATTGAGGTAAAAAAATTTGTGAAAAAAACAAAAAAATCAATAGTAATTGCCTTTCGCCATGATAATGGGTGGAAACACAAAATACTATTTGCAAGGGCAATCACTATTCACTTGAATAGTGGCTGTCCTACCTCCCCTTGCCATGGCTAAGGGCAAATGAGTGGAGTTGCTCTTAATGTGCCAAAAACCTCTCTATTCTCTTTAATATAAGTACAACAGATCAACGGTCCATATTCCCGCAATCAGTACTACACCCAATCTCTCTAACACTCCGAATTCCAACCCTCTCTCCCTCCACACTCCACAAGAAGAAGAAGAAGAAGAAGGAAAGAGAGCTCTTTCCAAGCTCTGTGCTTGTTGTCTCAAATGTCAAAGAGAAAGCCAAACAAAAACAAAGGACCCGCTATCATCGACCTCGACCTCGACTCTTCCGACCTCGACTCTCCAATTTCAGGTAAGTCTTTCCCCACAAAGCCCGTCTTTGTCTTAACCCTTGTGCTGTTGCCAATTTTATCTCCTTCACTATTTCTTTTGCTTTCTTGCTATTTCCTACTCAACATGCTAATGATCATTGTTTAAAGTTTCAATCTTTTGCTTTTCTTCTTTGGAATTTTCAAGAATGAGGTGAAGTTTTTGTTTTTGATTAAAGAGGCAAATGGTAAATATGGGGGAGAGAGAGAGAGAGAGAGAGGGGAGAGTGGAGATCACAGAGCTGAGAAATAGATAAGGGAAAATGGATGAAAATTAGATTAAGAATTAAATCTTTTTTAAGATGTTAAGATAACAATATCCCACATTGACATTTTGGGCTAGTATATAAGCTCCTCCTTGCAAGCTGGTCTTTTGATGGATTTTAGATTAAAGATTGAATCTTTTTCTTTTTGGTTGAAGTTTTGTTGTATGCTTCGTTTTTCTGCTACTTATTGCGTTCAATATTGGTGAACGCTTGATGGGTTATGGTGTTTGTACTCCAACAGAGCTTTTCAGATATGAGGTGTCAAAACATCGCTCATGTTGGAGGCACGTCTTCGCCTATTTGATAGTTCAAAAAAAGAAATTAGCTCTAAAAGATATTGAACTGATAAAGAAGCGATACCCGTGCCTTTTAGAATTCCCTTGCCACTTCCATCGTGGTGAGAGATTGAAGAGGAAAGGGAAAAGAGAAGAGATGAAAGAACTTGGACCACCCAAGGATGCCAAGCATGCAGTCTCAAGAAAAAAAGAAAAACTAGACTCTCAAGCATTTGAGTGTAAAGAAAAGCTAGGCTCTGAAGCATTTGATCGTTACTTTCAGTAAGTCCTAGTTTTGAGCAAGGCGCTGAAAAAGTAGCCGTAATTTTACAGTCGTATTGGATTTTGAAATTTGTTTGGAATGTGTAGGAACTTATGGAAGAATTTATCAGAGGATAAGAGGACTTCTTTCACATACCTTGACTGTATGTGGTTTAGCTTGTACTTGCAACCATCCTCCAGAGACAAGGTGCTGACCTGGATTAAGAAGAAGCATATTTTCTCAAAGAAATATGTCATTGTTCCTATCGTTTGCTGGTAGCTTTCTACCATTACCTTGAGCTAAAATCTTTCCATTTTCTCACTCAATGCTCAGAGTTCTAACATTTTCTTTTCCAAAATGTTGCCTTTTCAGGAGTCACTGGAACCTATTAATCTTTTGCCATTTTGGCGAGAGTGAGCAATCAGAAACCCATAAACCATGCATGTTGTTGCTTGATTCTCTTGAAAACGCAGATCCAAGGCGGTATGAACCAGATATAAGAAAGTATGATTTTCTGTAGCAAATTATGTATCCTGTTTGTTTTTTTGGGGCCACAGTCCTAATTGGCTGTTTGACATTTGTTTATCATTGTTTTCAGATTTGTACTAGACATTTATAAAGCAGAGGGCAGGTCTGAGACCAAAGATTTTATCTATCGAATTCCTTTCTTGGTTCCTAAGGTGACCTAAACAGTCTCTTTGTGACTCTCTATGTTCTTAACATTCTCTTTGTGACTTTCTACTTTCATATTAGAAAAAATTTACATGAAAAGGGCAATTTTCAGGTGCCACAACAGAGAAATGATGTAGAATGCGGTAACTTTGTTCTCTACTACATCAATTTGTTCATTGAGGGTGCTCCTGAGAATTTCAGCATTGAGGGCGGCTACCCATACTTTGTAAGTTTTTCATCTTATCATATGTTTATTCTAAGATGCAGCTTTCATATATTATATGTTACAAGCTCTACCTTTCTGTGGGAATTGCAGATGAAAAAAAATTGGTTTACCCCTGAAGGCTTGGAGTGTTTCTGCCAGCAACTATATTCCTCTTCAGAGTAATGTGCATATACTTAACAGTGAAAGGAAAGTCCATAGGTTTTTGTTGACTTTATGTAAATGTTCTTGTAGATTGGATCAGCCGATCATAGTGCCCAAGTGAATGAGATATATCAAGGTAATGTAGGTGTAATGTTGGTTTCCTAGGATGATTAAGTGCCACAGTCGAAGCGTATATTGAGAAACCTTTTGGTTGGTGAGAAAGAAAAGCCTCAAAATTATCGATGCTGGCTCCTTTTTGACTGGCCTGTATTTTGCTTAGAGATTTGATGTAGCTAATTGCGACTGCAACTTAGAGCTGTCAGTAAAATGTTACTTTACTCTTGATTTTCCTCAACTTGTTGCTAATTACAATTTAGCCTTGATAATCGAACAAGAAGATGTTTTTTTCTTTCCTTTTTTGGATATGCAAAAGAAGTTACTTTAAGTATTATTGTGCACAGATTTGAACCCATCTACAGGGCATGGTAGATTGTGATGATTCTCGTCAAGAGGTTGAGGTAAAAGCAATCTCTTATAAAAGCCACATTCTGAATTTTGATTTCATTGTCTATCCTCCTATGCTCAAGTTGGGTATCTGTGATTCATATCGCCAAAGAAGAGTTTGAACATAAATCAAACCCTCTAAATATATTGAGGGTGCAGGCATTTGATCTCCAATAACAATGGATGTCAAAGGTCCTTGCATATCAATGATATGGAAGTTCTACATCGTAGTCCCAGTTATCGTCTTCATTGTCATCATTTATCCTCGCTTCCGGTTTGTCCTGCCTTGGATCTTTTGACTGTGGATACCTGAAAATGAGTAAAGCATATAGAAGTGAGATGATCATTGTCAAGAGATCCCCATGAATCAGGTTTTCTCAAAACACAAAGTAAGCAAAAATTTCACAATACAGGAGACAGAGAGAAAAGAAGCAAAACTCAATGACACCCTCAATCTCCAAAAAGGCTTAACATATGGAGAGAGGCCGCCAAGATAAGTTGTTCCAAGCAAAAAACAAGGGCAAATGAAAAGAAATCTTTGCAAAACACACGACAATAAACACAACATCCCAGCTATCCTAAAATCTCACTTATTTCCTTTCGGCAACCAAACAGGCCCAAAAGCAGTAGTTACCAAATAGAAAAAGAAGAAAAGAAGAGAGGCAAAAAGTGAAAACCTTTTGCGGTTCTTTCTGGCAGCCTGTCTAGTCTTTCTCTGCTTCTTCTCCCGTTTGTTCTCGAAGAACCTCCTGGTCTTGCACTCTTGCAACACACCAGCCCTCAGAACCTCCTTTCTGAACCTCCCAACAAGCTTTTCCTCGGAATCGTTGTCTTGCACTACGATCTGAACGTTGTACGCTGATTTGAAGAAGAGGGTGTTTGAGTATGCGAGTGAGGGCCACAATATACTGGCTAAAGATGAGGAAGAAGGAGTTGATGATGGGGTCCAGGTGGCCACCAGTGGGGCCCTCCAAGATGGGGTTTTGGGAAGAGAGACACATGGTGGCAGAGGAAGGTTTGATGATGATGGTGATGGCTGTGGTGGTGATGATTTTGAGGGAAGGATGGAAGAGAGGAGCTTGGAGACAGCGGCCATGGCGATGGTGAGGGTGGCGTGGCGGGGGGCTCAGTCTAAAGGGTTGATTGAATCTAATTTCGTCCCATTATGTCTTGATGAGTCAGCTAAGTTTGTGGGCCACATTTGACGTGGCAGCAACTGGTGGGTTCTTTTTAAAAATAAAATATAAAATAAAAAAAAGTTTAGAATTTGATAAAAGTGGTAAATTCAATAATTTATTTAGTCATTTAAAAGTAATTTTGTAGCCATTAGCTCAATTGGTGATAGTGGATGGAAAGTTGAGATTTCTTTCATTGTGACAAAACCGAAGTAATTTTGTAGGTTCCATAGAATGACCATATACTCAATCCCAAGTTACATGGATTGAAAAATAATCATCAAACAATGTAGGAAACCAGCATTTACAAAATAGCGATATCAATTAGTGGCATGAACTGTACAAAACTGGTTACAAAAAGGCTGACTTAATTTAAAATTTTCTTTTCGGTGAACAAAATCAATACATTATTGGTATTTCACACTGGATTGTGGGATTATAATTGTCCCTTTGGACAGACTGGAAGGAAGCCCGACATTCTTCGAAATGGATGTAGCTTCTGGTGAATCTAGTGCTCGAGAAGCTTGGAGGGCCATCTCAGCATGGAGTTGTAGGCATGCCATAGCCATCTACGACACAAAGGATATATGTCAACAACCGGTCATGGTGGCACAGGTTAATCAACGTTGCAGCAATTAAAAACAATCAAACAAAGAAGAAAGTGATATGGCATTGAATGGAGAAAGGTTTCAGAGGGGCGGGGCAGGGTGGGGAGTACAGGCGTCCCTAATGGAGCTTTAGGATTAGTTGTTTACCGTATAGCACTCTCTATCGTTGTCTGATTCAGCTACCTGAAGCGCCCACGTGCGCACCCATTCCAGCCCGTTCGAAATTTCGACGTTTCCTTCAACTAAGGAGGTTGCTACATAAGAGGGATGAAGAGATAGCAATACGCATGAAGCTGCAAAAAGAACAGCTTTTCTAACATAAGCTTCCTTGTGAAGACATACCTCCCTGCATGAAGGTTAAAATGACAGGGTTTAGTGAAATAAATACAGTTTAATGTATATATGCAATGGGGAAGCTGCTATTAGAATATCATAACCTAATCATCATTTCATTCTCACAGAGATTTTGCAGTCAGTACCTGGATCTTAGCATATCTAGAAGAGGGGCAGCCAGTGCAGAGGCTTCTGGATGCATGGCTGCACATTTCATACAAACACCAAGCATATAGATGAGTTTTCCCAGGACAATAAAATCTCTATCAAGCAAGTCAACACCCTGCCTTTTCTTATCAAAGCCCTGCATGGCAGGGAGCATAAATGCTGCTGCATACACCGGAAACTTATTATGGGACCATTCTAATTGGGCTTCTTGTTTATTTGCTGATCTTAGGCTCCATTGCCGCGTTTTGCCTCTCTTAATCTGACCAGGTTTTGAAGGAAGTTCCCTCTCATAACGATTCGTCCAATTCAGTAAAGATCTTGATTCTGAAATCTCTTTCCAGGGACCAGATCCAGGGGGCCCTATGTCGCTTGGCAAGAACCAAGCTTGGGTCTCTGACGTGGTTGCTATGAGGGCCCTAGCCTGTTTAGGCTTTATAATTTTAGTATGAGCAAGCTCCTGAGCAGCCTCAGTCATGACATCAAGTATCATTATGCGCTGACTGACATCCACATTAGGTGAATATAGTAGTTTGTTTAAAGTCTCAAGAGATTCCAAAGGACATGTGACAAGCAAAGCAACCAATGCTCTCTGTCTCTTGTCTTCAGCTGAATCTTCCTCACCTTCTACAGCCAAGTCAGAGCAACGAACCTGAACTAGAGTTCTGACAAGATCACTTGCTACATGCTTAAGCTCATCAGGCGACGCTCTGACAAGCTTTTCAGCAACAGCAAGAGCATTCTCCACCTGCAATATTAAAATAAATGTAACGATCCAGAAGAGAATTTGGTACACCAAATTTTCAAAGCTGACTGCCAGGGAATCACTGCACTCTGGCAATCCAACCATTGTTTCATACCCACTCCCTAATTATTTAGTTGTATATTTACACGAGCCAAGGACAATATTCATCCAGCTTGTCTAATGTTTTCACCTATAGATCTTATAAGCTGCACCAAAAGGTCGATCTCATCTACAGCACAAACTTAGTTTACTAGTGATTATTGTAACAAAAACATTTGACAAGAATTAAACTAATGTACTTAGTTTACTTACCCCATCAGCATCATCAGATTTCCGAAGTGCCCCAACCACATCAACCAACTGTGAAAATTTTCTTTTCAAATCTGTGTCATCATCTGCCAAATCATATGGTTGTAAAGATGAGTCACTCGAGACATCGGAATTCTCACTAGCATCATCGTTGTCATCTTCATCAGAGGCCGATTCGTAATTTAGTGTAACTGGATCAATGATCTCGTCTGGATCAACCAACTTAGATTCAGTTATTTTTTTATTTTTACTCCTCCCATTGCTTGCTATCTCATCATTGCCTTTGTGGGTGAAGCCCTTTTCTAGAACTGAGGTAGTAGATGTTTCAGTTTTGTCAATACCCTGTTCAGGAGTCCCTTTCTCAGGGGTAGACAACCCAAATTCCCAGTCGATAGTATCCCCAGTGTAGCTATCGTCAAGGTATAGAGGATTTTTTGGGTCAATCACCTTGGAGAAAGCTAAAGCAACACTGCTGGCCATTTTCCGAATCAAATTATTAGGGCTTTCCAGCCTACCTGCCAGCAAAGAAGACAAGATATAACCGGAAGATACTGACCACCAACATTGCAAGACACTATACTGATACAGATGGGGAAAAGAATTTACAGCTCACTCCTTTGAGAATTGAGTGCATCACATCCTTAGTCTCATCTAGTTCCTCTTTAGACATCTTCTCCAGGGAAAGGCCTACAGCTGCAGATACATCTGATATTACAAGATTAAGGAGCAACAAAATCCAAAAAGCAGCATAATGAAACAATGAAATTTTCTTTAATGCAACAGGATTTATTATAGAATAGCTACTTGTGATATATCAGGTATTTCATATTAATCTTTAGGCTTTTAGAGTCTACAAGGTCTCCCGTTGTAAAGGTCAGTCAAGAAGAATCATTAGGATTCATCACAGACTACTACCAGATGCTAGACAAACAAATGAAGGATACAAATTTGCTGCTCAGTTGGGGCTGATTGCACAAACTCCTTATTAGACCATACTGCTACCAGATGCTGCAATGTGTCTAACAAATTTAGGGAATTATGACCTTTAGCAAGTGAATTACTTTCAGGTGGGCATTCAAGAACAGCAAACTGAAGGATCCATTGCAGGCAACGAACAGGAAATACTTTCCAGAGTAAGAATTTGTCAGCAAACATTGCCCTAATAAAGAGGAAAGCTGAAAATTAAACACTTAATATAACAGGAAATCAATGATACTTTTAAAAGATCAACCCTGGAGCGACAAAAAAAATGTATTTTCCATAAACAATCAGTGTAATATGTCAGAATTGGGAAAACTCTTTATATGCAACACATTGTTTGCATGCCATGGGTAATGTAAAACAATTAATATCTGTCAAAAACAACGATGAAACTGGTGGCACATCTAATTATCTCTGGGCCAGATTTCAGTATATCCAAACAATTTGCCACACCACAACATTCTGCAAAAACAACTTTGATTTCAAGTGCAAAGTTGAATCTTAGAAGTTAAAATGTGTCCACTTAATTTGAGAGAGAGAGAGTATTCACTGACCTCACTGATATCTGGTATTTAGAAACCCGATGAAATAATAGCCAAAGAATCCAGTAGGCTTCAACATCACTCAAACGTTCAGTTGCAAGCTGATGTAAAAGCTGCTCAGATATTCTTTCCACAGCATAAGAATCTTTCATAGCTTGTATCATATTCAACCAAAATTGGGAACTGGGGTATGATTCAAAAACATCCGAGACAAGTGGATCTATATTTAATGATAATAAGCTCCGTACATGACTAAGAACCCGTGGAATTATTTCGCTTAAAAGCACATCTGTGAAAAAGGACTTCGGTTACATATCCATTCAAAATTTTGTTTGTTGTGTGTGGGGGGGGGGGGGAATATAAGTGAAATCCTGTTCTTTTTTGTATAAACACTTTTTAATTGCTGTGCTTAAAATTATAACAGTTACCTACAGATCCACGCCGACATACACGAGAAAATATCTCCCCAACAAATAGTAAGGTCCCATTCATGTCACTTTTAAGGCACGCTCCTTCTTCTAATAGATTCATATTCCTTTCTTCTGCTAGAGAAAGAAGTTGGATGGTAACTTGCTTGAAGAAAGAACTTTAGTACTTCAGTGAAGAAAAACAATAAAATGGCAGTGACAGAAAAGAAAACAATTTAACTGCAAATAAGTAGGCATATTATATTTCTAATGCCATTCTGATGTCAGATTACCAGAATGCTCACATAGAACATTAAGTTATGTCCCTCATCATAGCATACACTTTTCCAAAGCCTAAACAAGTATATGACTCAATTATCCAGCACAAGACATAAAAGGATACTGTGATGAAAGCGAAGTTGGGGCTCTCAATTGTGCTTTGTCAGGTATAGATGCAACGATCTGGGCTACTCTAGATACAGCTGGCTTAAGATTTTCATTTATATAATCTTCAGAATGGGAAGAACTGCTGAATTCTCTAGCCATCTGGAGCACCCCGTTATTTTCAAGCAAGCAAAGTATGAGTAACCTGTTGTAATGGTAAAAAAAGTTCAACAGATTGACTATAGTCACCATTGATATTTCAAATTGGACCTCTTATTGTTATAAATAACCACTGGACAGAAACCGGTCCTCAACCCATACCTTTCAGTATTAGAGTGTACAGCCTTAACATCAAGATCGTCACTTCCACTCTGATGTAGACAAGGGACCAAGGTCTGAACAACCTCAGTGGCAAGTCCATTAACAAAGAAAACATCATAGACATGTTGACGTGCTGAAAAGGGGAAGCAAGCTAGCCAGTCGGAAGCAATATC